ACAGGGTTTGTGTTCAAAAGTCTGCTGTGATTGTGATGGGCTTTCCTTTGCATGTGATTTGTTTCTTTTCTCTTACTGCTTGTAGTATTTTGTTCTTCTGTCCGGGTTCTGGGATATAGATTAGTATATCTCTAGGTGTTGATTTTTTTTGTCGTGGTAGATGGAGTTCTATATGCCTCACTTATCTGTGTGTCAAATTCTTCCCCTCTATTTGGGAAATTTTCTGTCATTAATTCTTTAACAGGTTTTTTAAAGTCATTTTTATTTTCTCCTGCTACTTCATGGATTCCTATCAGTCTTATGTATTCTTCTTTGCATCATCTAGGAGCTGTTGAATGGATTTCTCATGATCCCTTACTGATTTTAAAAGAACTCTCTTTTCATGGTCACTGAGTGCAATCCTGGCTTCTATATCTGAGATTCTATCTTTGCATTGTTTTATTCTGCTGTGAACACTTTCAATAGAGTTTTTAGTCTCCTGGACATCTGTTTGAATCTGTTTTATGTATTCCATTTCTTTCCTATGTTGGGAATTTGTTGTTTCCATTTCTTTCTTATGCTCAGCCTTCATGGCCTGAATTCATCTTTTTTTTTTTTTTGTCAGTTTCTGTTCTACAGTCTCGAATTATGACTCATTTTGCTCACCATCTCTGTGGTTATCTGGGAAATTATTTGTTTTGAATTTTTCTACAGCCTCATTGATCTGTTTTGTTACTTCCTGTGCTATGAGTTGAGGGTGTCCTGCTGGTTCACTATCAGACTTTTCTTCCTCTTTTGCTCTACTGATACTATTGGTGAACTGGAAGTCTGTCTTTGTGTCTTGCTTAAGTGTTTTCTCATTTTTATTTTTGTTGTTGGGTTGTCCTTGGTTTAATTTCCAGATTATTGCTTAAATCTTCCTGATATAGTAGCACTTTAGCTTTTCAGTTTCTAATTACTCATAGACATTCTCATTTTCTTAATATCAGAAATGACAACTCATTAAATCAATCACAATCCTTTAGCCCAGTTGATACAGTCAGCAACACAATAGGATCAAGCACAACTTACAAATTGACCATTCATGGTAGTTATTCATCTATCACCTTTAAACCATGTGAATTAAATTAAAATCAAGGAGCAGCCCAAAATATGTTTTCAGTGAGTAAATTCTTCAATATAGCATCTTTACCATTTAGGTTGGGGCTTTATACAGAGTTAGGATGAGAGGAGTAGATAAGTGAAAGAATTGGAGAAGGTTTTGAGTGAAGCCAGAGGACACAGAATGACCATATAATCTTTAGGAAACTGTTAGATTCAAAAGGGAATGACAGAGTGCAAGAAGAAGGACAAGACTATAACCACTTAACAGTAATAGGGGCTCACTTTCCTTTGAAACTATTGACCCTTGAGTGAGGTAAAGTGACAGAAGAAAAGAACATAAAGAAAAAATGATAAAGGAAGAAATCTGAGTTAGGGCAGAAACAGGAATAGAAAGGAAGATGAGGGATAATATGGTAGAGCAAGAGACTGTATTGGAGGAAGAGGACAGAAAAAAAGAAAGAATTTGAAGAGTGGAATGAGGAAAAGAAAGAAAAAAAATGAATTTGAAGGGCCTCTTTCAGAGTATATCTCTGCTGTCATAATATACAACATGCACAGCCATATGCAGAACTAAGTCCTTTGATCTCAGCTAGCTGATGGCAGAACCCTAAGATTCAGAATGATTTCGGGCTGCATGGCCCAAATGGAGTTCACTGACCTCCTACAGGATTGATCTCCACACAGTTCTACTACTGGTTCTCTCTGCCTTTCTTTAAAGATGTTCAAAGTTGGGAGCTCAGAAAAATACCCTTTATGACCACCTATACCTCTGCAGAGTGGATTCAAGGACTGGCACAGTCAGGAAGTCTGAGGGGAGATATGGGGGTGTTTCATGGGAGCCCCCATGGCTACCTTCCTTGCTGGAGCTGATGGCGGTGCAGGCAGGACAGGGCATGGCTACCCAGTCCTGCAAACTGGTCCCAAGCAGGCCGGAGGGAGAAGGGATCTCAAAGTGCTATCCCAGGTCTCACCTTCCTTGCTGGAGTGATGGCGGCGCAGCTGTGATTTGAAGTTCTATATGCTTCACCGATCTGCATGTTTATTTCTTGCTCTATATTTGGGAAATTTTCCACCATTACTTCTGGGAACAGAGTCCTTATACCATTTGTCCTATCTTCTGTATTTCAGTTATTCCTGTTACTCAGATTAGCCTTCTTAGCTTCATCTAGGAGCTGCTGGACCCATTTTTCATGTCTCTTGTGGTCTTCATGGTGTCTTTGATAACTGGTCTTTGAAAGCATCACTGTCTTCTAGCTCTGAAATTCTGTCCTCACATTGGTCATTTCTTCTGCCCATACTTTCATTATAATTTTTAATCTCCTGTGTTGCTAATTAAAATCTTTTAATGGGCTCTAATTCTTTACTACACTGGTTATTCATGTTTTGTATCATTTTTTTACTCATTTAATTTTTTATTAGTATCTTTTAAAAGGTACTGAATCATTTTTCTTATTATTTCCACTACCTGTTTAGTTACATTTTCTGTAATCTCACTGAGTACCTTTTTGATCTGTTTTCTAACATCCTACATTATCTTTTTTAAAATTTGAATATGTGACTTGTGCTATACTCCCCTCAATGCCTCCTAGATTGGATTTGGGGAAGTTAGGGGTTTTGAGAGGCATTTCTTTGCCTTATCTTCTCAGGCTTCAAGAATTATGTAACCAATATCAAGAAAGTCAACTACAGTAGTATCATTCAAGACAACTTGGGTATTAACATGCCATCAGAACCAATTATGTAGCCCCCCTTGCCAGTAAGAAGAAATTCATAATTACAGCACAAACATTAGCACAACCCAGATACTGACCTACAGCTAGTATGCACCAAATGCAACAGCTGTATCTCCTCTAATGGTAGGGAAATATTCAACAGTAATTACATAGAGTCAACTACCTAAAGACTAATAAAGCTTGTGGCTCTACTATTAAAGATATAATGTATGGGGAAGAGGTGAAGGAAAGAAGAAAAATTTGAAACATTAAACTGTAAGATATAAGAAGGAGAAAGAATTAAGTAAAGTACCCTAATAGGAGTAGAGGTAAGTAGGGATAACTGAAAAATATGAGAAATAGGTGATGAAAAAGAGAGAATATCATGAATAACAATATGAAAGAAAAATTTAAAGGAAGACAAATTAAAAAGAATACTGAGATTAAAAATGAAGAAAACAAAAAACAAGTAAGAAAAAAAGATAGGATAAAAACAAGCAAGGAATGTGGATAAGGGGGAATTCCCTTACATGAACTAATAACGAAAAAAAAATGAAAGGAGAAGAAAAAACAATACACTTATAAAACAAAAAGAAGGAAAGTAGGAAGAAAGAAAAAGGCAAAAATATAAATTCCTCTGTTATTTTGGATGTGTGGCTTTCTTCCAGAATCTACAATTTTGGTGCAGTACCCAAGTCAAGATATATCCCTGCTCATGCTGGTAGACAAAGCAGTCAGACCCCAGATCCATATTGGATGCAGGCACAGCAGGTAGTAGAACAAGGATGTCAGTGTCATGGCTTTTAAATCTCATGCAACTCAGACTGAGTTTGGCCTCTGGCCCTGGGTCTATATATTTTACCTCAAACCCATCATGGGGTCTTTTTCCAGCCTGTTATCTGATAGCCAGTTGTTTCTGGTGAATGTCCTTTACCTAGTTATTTAGGGAACATAACACTGAGAGACACTGAGCCAAAGAGCCAAGTGGCTGCTTTGGGCACTAGGTTCAAACAATCAGCCCTTCCCCAGAGCAGCATCCCAGTGAGCTCTCTCTCTCCAGGAGAATGGTGGACACTAGTATTCAAGTCACTCGCCAATTGTCACCTGTAGAAGGACACACTGGTGCCAGTTTGGTCCATTGCACTGCAGCATCATACCAAGAGAAATTTCTCCTTTCAGATGAAGTCTAGAGGGTCCCTTCACTTTTCAATGTTGTGTTCTGGTTTTTCTGTACCTATTAATACTTTTTTTTTGTAAGATCCCTCCTGGCTCCCAGGAAACAAAGTAGTATCTCTTGGTTTCTTTTCCAAGTTGTTGTTTTCCACATTTTGGATACCAAATCTCAGAAAGATTGAGTTGTTCTCACTTATCACGCTACCATCTTTTTTTCCTTGGAATATATTCATTAAAAAGTATAAGTTTAGGGCCAGGGATTTAGCTCAGTGGTTCTATTACCTGCTCTGCAAGCACAAGGTCAGGAATTTGATCCCTGATACCAAAAAATGTGTGTGTGTGTGTGTGTGTGTGTGCGTGTGTGTGTGTGTGTGTGTGTGTGTGTGTGTGAACAGAGAGATTTCCCTATGCAGATATTTATCACAAAATTAAGTACAGCAATACAAGACTGAAAACAAGTGGTCGACAACTGAAGTATTTATTTGATCAACCATCTGATGATGCTATAGCTTGTGGTCATTGAAAAAGTTTTTAAAAATTATTGAGATAAGGAAAAATTCAGAATATAATATTAGTCCCACTTGTTGGAGGCAGGGATATAATTGTTCTTGGTTCAGTGATTTGTTCAGTAAGTCAAATGTTAGTAATAGCAGAAACTACTTATACAGCCAGATTAACAATGACCAACCAGTACAAATCTAGATTTGCTTCCTGATCATAATGCTGGGAATTCAAAAAGAAAATAGGCCATTTCCTCTTTCACTTGCTTTATAAGATGAATGATAAAACTTCAAAACAGAAATTACAGAGGTTCTCTATGCAGGGGCCTATTCTTGCCTATGTTTAAACATTTACTTAATTATTCAGTAAATATTTATCAAAGGCTTATTACATGCCAAACACTGTTCTTTGCACTGATATAGCAAGGGAAAAGCAACATCGTTGCTCTTGTGATGCCTTTGTCCTAGTTGTTGCTGTATCCTTCTTGGCCTATGAGATGTGATTGACCAGCTGACATTATTATTCGCCCAGGTGAGACTGAAAAGCCATGTATCCTTGAACTGATGGATGATACTCTCTATGAGGAGGTAGAGGAGCTCCGCCTGGTACTTGGCACCCCTCAAAGCACCTCCCCTTTTGGGGCTGCAGTTGGTGAACAAAATGAAACTCTCATAAGGATCCAAGATGATGCTGACAGTAAGAAGCCACTGCTTATGCTCCTCTGTGAATTTGGAACAGAAATCTATCCCTGTTAGGGTTTCAGGTGGCTCAGAAATTAACGACCTCTTTCTTGGGGCAGGGGATTTAGCTCAGTGGTGCTGCCATCTGACTTGCAAGCACAAGGTCCCAAGTTTGATTCCCTTTCTTAAGTATGAAAAATTAGGGGAAAAAAAGCCTCTTTCTGAAAACGGTGTGAGAGCAATTGAAAAGATAACTAAGACATTTGGGTATAAATTAAATTATTAAAGCTGATAAAATTGGGAGCTAGGAATGTAGGCCATTGGTAAGCACTCAGCATGCATAAGGCCATGGGTTCTACCCCAGGGACACTTACACACACATACACACATACACACACACATACACACCCCAACTGGGCAACACATGTAGGCTTCTTCCTCACTCACTGCTAACACTGAGGAAACAGAGAAGCCAGTAGTGTATCCTCCTACATGAAAGAAAGCATTAGAAATGGGGGGAAAAAACTGTTTCCCTTACTAAGGTTTAATTTGTTTGTGTTTTTTCCACAATTTCAGAGACTGTGATCAAATTTGGAGAAACCAAATTTAGCATCACAGAACCCAAAGGGCCAGGAGAGTCTGTGGTTGTAAAAATTCCAGTGATTCGCCAAGGAGACACTTCTCAAGTTTCCATCGTGAGAGTCCACACAAAAGACGGCTCAGCCATCTCTGGGGAAGACTATCACCCTGTGTCAGAAGGTAAGTGGTCCCACGGCTGTCACCAGTTGGATCATACCAACACAGCACAGTGTCCCGATGCTATACCCTTAAGAAAAAAAAGAAATATCCCCTTGAATATAAACAGACATGCTTTCTTAAAAGTAAAGACAACAATTTATTTCTAGAACTTTCCTTTTTGACTCACAAGGCTTCCTTTGTGACACGTGTGTTAGGGCTTACGGAAATTTTGAGTACATATGTTAGAAGACTTTATTTCTGAGCATACTTTGAACTTTTGGCTAGTTTTATTTTCATTTCTTGATTGGCCATTACATAATAATTTTCCTGTAAGTTTCTGTTACATTGAAAATGTGTGTGATAACTATGATGATAAACTATTTTAGTTTAGAGAACACCTATATTCTAAACCTTTTTCATTTGTTTGCTTGCTTTTAAGCTAGGAATACTTTTATTTTGTGTGAACAGGAGAGAGTAAAAAGTCATATAACTCAGATCTTTCATGTTCTTCTTAACAATAATAATGGATGATATCAGATTCAAATAAAAGTGTGTAGTGTAGTGACCTATATGGTTCTATTTTAAATTTATAAATGAGATCTAGTTTCTAGTCAATTAATGTTTTACCTCTCAACCTCAAATACTAATGTAATTTTGAAATTTGATTATCATCTACCAAGTATACAATCAGATAGAAATAATTTAAAGCTGAAATTATTTTTGACTCCTTAAAAGTTGGTTTGTATAATTCAAGGGTTACAAAACTTAAATACTTACAAAGACAAGCAATGAAAATGAGTGAAGAGGGAAACATAAAGGGAAAATGGAGTTATGGGTGTTATTGAAACAGAAAATTTATTCTTTGTTGAGGAAAGCCTGTACTATCATAACCACCTATTATCATGCAGAAAGACACAGAGAACTCAAACATCTAATTTTCCATTGAAATCCTCAGATTATTATTTTTTTGTTTTTGGTTTTGGCTTTGGTTTATTTTGTTCTGGGGATCCAACACAGGACCTTGAGCTTGCCAGGCAAGTGTGATGCCACTGAGCTAAATCCCCAGCCAAAATCCTCAAATTTTTAAGTAATAGAAATAGAAATGAATTTTTTAATTTCATATCACATAGACCAAATTAACTTATCTGTAACATCCCATTGCATACTTCAAATAAACATAACAAAAAGTAAAACTATAAAGCATAATTTAAAAATTATAAAATCTAATTTTAAATTATGAAATGATTTAAATAATTCTAAATAAAATTAAAAACAATTGCTTTAAAAAGCAAGTGAGTAGGTGAAAAATAATTAGCGGTTTTCATTCTCTGACTCTAGAACCATGAGTTCTCTCCAGGCTGGAGAAGCCTAGGACTGACAAACACCAAGGGCATGTGAGGCTTGTGGGAAAAATGCTTTATCTAGACCTAGCTAATTTTAAAGATGTCTGGCTTACCAGCTCAATTTTAAAGAAAAAGTTTTCTTTGTTGTTGATAATTTAAAAGTTGAAGTACAAAAAGGTATACTAGGAATGCATTTCTTTCCGGCTAGACTCAAAGAATTTATAATTGATTGAACTACAGTTATATCCGAATGCAACATTTATTATCTCCTTGGTTTGGAATGACTATATTTTATTTTTTTGTGTGTGTTTTTTTCTTTTGATCCCAAATCTCAAAAGGTACAATAAAATCAATAAAGTAGTTTATTCAAGTTAAGTAGTGTGGGAAGCTGCTTGTTCATGATTTCAATAGAATTCAGTGATTTTAAACATTTTGAAATTCTATAAATGAATGTTTAAGATAAATTCTGATAGATTTAATTTTTATAACAGTGAAGCAATTCTTGTAGTGAGAAGCAAGGTAAGTAGGGAAACCATCAATATTTATTTATAATAACTTTTCTGACTTTCTAAGAACAAGAGAAAGAAATGTTTTTGAAATATAATTTGATATTACATTTTAAAGCTCAATTTTATATCCAGCTTTTCTAAACATAAACATAAATACCATCCACGATTATATTTCTATTCCTATTCATATGACCTGATCCCACTGGTTTAGATATTCTGGGGAACAAGAGTTGAATTTGATTATCCTTAATGTGAGAACTATTGATTGTTCTATAATTCAGCAGCTTTTTAAACAGTGAGCTAACAAATGAATTTAGTAAGGTATGTTTAGTATTTTCCCTTAGGCAAAATGGAAAACAAAAGAGGGAAGAAAAGAAAAGAAGAAAAGATTACAGTCCAGCATAGACAGTGAGAATTAGTTATGTCTCAAACTTTTGCTTCCCTTTTGCGCACAAACATACACAAACATACTGGTCCACAATGCAACATGTACTTTTTGCTGTAGAAAAAAAGCTTGCCTCAACTTCTTGTATTCATATGCAAAAGATTTAAATTTGTGATTTTTGCATTTGTAGAAATTGAGTTTAAGGAAGGAGAAACCCAGCATACTGTTGAAATTGAAGTAATCTTCGATGGATTACGAGAGATGCGAGAGGCCTTCACTGTTCACCTAAAACCTGATGAAAATATGATAGCAGAGACACAGGTGTGTGTTGAAGTGTGTTTATAAGTTAGTATTCTAATATGCAGATGCATGTAAGCAACCACATATGGTACAAGAGAGCCTTGAGACTCTGGACAAGCTTTATATAAAAAGGGTGTTCGTAATCCCTGTCACCAATGAAATAAATTTTGCTCTGATTAGATCATAAGCGAGAAATTCTTCTCTTTCTGTAACAAGTTGTGTTTGTAGCCACTCTGAGCCTTTTGTCACTGAGCCCATGTCAGCCCCTTGCCTTCCTGACAGTCAGTAGTGACTGAATTTAGGACTGAACTCCAGTTAGAAAGCAACTTCATAGCACACAGAAAACCTGTTAATTCAGTACCATGACTCATTAAAATTTGTTTTTCACCCACAAAATCATTTACCAGTTTTCAAAATTCCCACCTATTTCTCATAGTTTGATTAAACTTTGATGTCCAAATGTTTAGACCCAAAATGTTATAGTCCTAAACTTTTTTTTTACGCTCAATTAATTTGTATTGTGCCAGCAGCCAGTTTTTCCTCAAAATACACATAATTTCCATAGAATTTTGACCTTTACACTGAAAATAATTTTTAAATTAATTTTTAAATTTAGTCTTAGGAAAAGGTCAATGTAATAATACCTATGCAAATTTATGGAATCAGTTTTATTATTTCATTATTAGAATGAAGTGAAGTTAGGGAAGTTTTCTTCTTAATGTTGTCATTTTAATTACTTGATGCCATTTCTGCTAAATGCCTCACCTTTTTCTCAAGCCATATTTATAATACAGAAGAATAGACCAAAAATCTTTCATTAAAAATTTTTATGTTTTGATCACATCAAAATGAATCTTTCATCATTATTTTCATGGAGTACTATATGAAAATTTGGATGAAAGGAATAAATTCATTAAACTCACTTCCAGTGATAAAAGCTTTTTTAAAGAATATGTACATAATTCCTGATTTAGGATGATTCAACTTAGAATCATTCAACTTTACAAAGGTGTAAAAATGATATGCACTCAATGAAGAACATATTTTGCATTTTGACTTCTGTCCTTTCCAGTACCTCTAAGGGACACAGCTGGTACCCTGAGTCTCCTGTACTGCCAAGCTATAGTGTTCACTAAGTTAGGTGGATGCGTGGGCTGTCACTCCACTTTAAGTCACAAAGCATCTGTGCATGTAAAGGTAGGTTTGCAAACTGTGATATAAGTTATCAGGTGTCTGAAGGTTATGCAGGAGCCACAGCAAATTGTCAGCAAGGTGTTTTTGTCACCTCGCCCCACAGCAGATGTCCATAGAGTACTCTTCCATCCTCTTCTTCCTATAAACTAACTGACTTTTTCTTATAGTTTGCACATCACACTACAAATCCAGATTTATCTAATGTCATCATAACTGTAGGGAAAAAAAAGCATAGAACCCAAGTCCAAGTACCTTGTGGGCCACTGGTCAACTTTTGATTTAGCTGGCCCAGGCTCTGGTGCTCTCCCCTAAAACCATAAGACATGAGCAACATACCAGCATCACATGCAACAAACCACACCAGACCAGTCACTCTGCAGAGACTCTGATTGTGACAGTTTGTATCACAGAGATTGGATGGGCATCATGAAAAGGTACCAAAGAAACACCAAAAATCTAACATTTAACTGATCAGTGATGATTATCATTTTCTTTTAGGTGACCAAAGCCATTGTGTACATAGAAGAAATAAACAGCATGGCAGATGTCACTTTTCCTTCTGTTCCTGAAGTTATGTCCTTGCTGCTATATGATGACACTTCCAAAGCTAAGGAGAGTGCTAGACCTGTGTCTGGCTATCCTGTCATCTGCATCACAGTGAGTAGGAAATTAGAAAGATTGAGAGAAATTATAAGGTAATGATTTAAAATGATTGTGAACTTTAATCATGAAGAAATATTGTCATAAAGAAATATATGGGAAATTCTACAAGGTTTAAGGTTTAAAGTTTAAAAAGAAAAGATCACATTAATTAAATGGGTGCCCACTTTTCTTCCCTTACCTAACAAAGATTTGTTAACTGATGTGTACATTGTTGTGATCTAAGAGACTAGAAAAATAAATAAGCCATGAACTGTGTGGTCCAAAAATTTCAAAATAAGTAATAGAAAAACATAGAATTTTATAGCTGAAAAAAAAAGCAAGATGTGATCATTATTGTAAGAATGTTACAAATTAAGAACTAGAGCTAAGATACGTGATGGAGGTAGAATTTTGATAATTTAAGAATTGGGGAAAAAGAAAGAATTGGGTAAGGGAAGATCATTCCAAAAACAAGTCATCACCAACATAGGCAGCAGTCAAAGAATGAAGAGCAGAAGAGATAACATTTTATCATTATTTTTATAATTGTCTCTTTTATTCTAAATTATAAGCTCCGATGAGCAAAAGCGATGAGTTATTTTATATTACAATAGCCCTAGTGTAATGACCTACCTATAGTTTAGGCAATAAATACTTACTGAATTAACCAGGCATAAATAATAATTTGGTGCCTTGTTATGTAAATCTCTAAACACAGTATTAAGGATCTTGAGCCTTATTTGTTGGCTAGCAGGGAACTCTTACACAGAAGGTCAGCATGATTAGAGAGTTATGTTGAAGGGCTAGTTAGGCAATTGTGTATCGCTTGGCTGGAAAAAGAGGACATGAATCAACCAGGGGATTGTGGTGGAAATGCATAGAAAGACACCAATTAAAGAAATATTGCAGAAGAAGGACAATCAAGTTCACTCACCCACTGGACATGGAAAGAAGGGAGGAAACGAGCCACTGATGACTGATAGCTCTCCTGCTGGCCCTGGTAGTGTGACCAGACCCGAGGGAGAGGTGGACTGCAATGCCCTTGTTAGGAATGGAGAAAGAGAAAAGAGAGAAATGAAGGAAAGAAGAATGGAGGTAATTCAGCAACTCTGCAAGTTCAAGACAAAATGCTGTGGCTAACAATTCTGCATATATCAAGTGAGAGGTGGAAACATCCAATAAGCTCTTTGAAATGAAAGCTTAGAGTTCACAAAAGCTCTCATGGATGGGATTTGAAATTTTGGAAGTTTCATGAAAATACTAAGATAGAACTTGAGGAGACCCATGTCCACATTGTTCTGTACAGCATTCCTAACACAGTTGTTTGTTTCTCACAGGCATGCAACCCCAAATATTCAGACTACGACAAGACAGGCTCCATTTGTGTGAGTGAGAATATCAATGACACTTTGACCCGCTACCGATGGTTAATCAGTGCTCCCGCAGGCCCCGATGGCGTCACCAGCCCCATGAGAGAGGTGGACTTCGACACATTTTTTACATCGTCCAAGATGATCACCTTAGACTCCATATACTTTCAGCCTGGGTCCCGGGTACAGTGTGCAGCCCGTGCTGTAAACACCAATGGCAATGAGGGCCTGGAGCTGATGAGCCCTATCATAACCATTGGCAGAGACGAAGGTAAAGGCACTGCATAAGGCTCGCTGAGATACCGAGGAATATGACAGATGTCTAACTTCTGGTTATTATTTCAAATACACCATGTGTCCCATAATATCCTGAAAAGTGAAAATGTGTTTTTACAGAAATATTCATTAGAAAACAATCATTCATTCTACATTTTGTTAGCGTCTACAGTATGCCAGGCTCAGCACTTTATACTAGCAACATGAAAAAAAAGGCCAGAACTCCATCCCCAAGGGGTCCTTAGGAAAGCTGATGACAGACACACACATGAGTCTGGATGAGACTGACAGATGACATGGAGAACAATTAGTTCTGCTCTCAGTGCATCAGGAAAGCTCATCATTGAGGTGATGCTTAGGTTGAATGACTATTGGAAGCATGAAAGAATTCAGAATGTACTGAGAATGACAGAGACATGGGAAACTTGTGAGAGGAAGAAGAGAAAGAATTGGGAAACAGAAAAGGTTGGAAGGCAAGGATCTGGTCTGAACAGTGGGTGCTGGCTGTCAGAAGAGCAGAGTTTGCAAGGGCAGGAGGGCAAGGACAGTTCAGGTGGAGCGGTGTGTGCACTGCTTTTACCTCGTATCTGTAAGGGAGGCTACAGCCAAGGATGCACTGGGGTTGGGGAGTAGGATATGGCTAGACACACACTGGAAAGACAGGAAACCTACTTTGTGGACCAATTCTTCACTTGAATTGGAATGGGGAGATCTGCATCTTGAACCTAGAGCCCCAAGAAGCCAGGCAAGTACTCTACCACTGAATACATCCACAGCCCAAAATTGAGCTCTTTGAAAAGATTATATGTATATGTTTTTATTTCTAGAATTCCTCTTTGCAAACAGCATTCAGAAATACATTTAGGACTTGAGATGCAGCTCAGTGCTAGAGTACTTGACTGGCATGAACCAAGGCCCTCTGTTCAGTCTCCAGCACTGGAGAAAAAAGTTCCATTGTTCATTTTTATTAAGAAGTAACTTGTATTTTACAGATTAACAAATATATTACTCTAAGATCAAATTACTTCATTGAACTATGCTTTTTTTCTTTTGGTTTTCAATCATTTTTACTGGATCTGTTCACATTATATGTTAAAGTGATTTTGTGAAAATATTCATGACCTGAAATGACCAGCACATATTAAATCACACTGAACAATAACTGTCCTTTTTTCAAAAAAAAAAACCAAAAAACTTTTTTTCAGTTCTGAAGATAGAACCCAGGGCATTTGTTATAAGCAATGTCCTCCAGCCATTGGGGGGGGGTGTCTTTAGCTTTTTATTTTTCAGATAGGGTCTTGCTAAATTGTTAAATTGCACAAGGCTTGAATTTGCAACCTCCTTACAGTAGAGTGCCACAACATCCATCAAACATCGTAAACTCTAAAATGCTAAGAGGCTACTAGAATGTGAACTGCGATGGCCCCCTGTCATGGTCTTCTGCTTCCTTATGGTACACTTTTATTTTTATGGTGTCGACTGTTACCTTCTGCATCTTAAACATGTCCATTTTCTTTGAGGTCTCTGTCAGCCTCGTGTGCCTGGGGTAGTGGGCGCCGAGCCATTCTCAGCTAAATTACGCTACACTGGCCCACAGGACGCAGAGCACCCAAACCTCATCAAGCTCACTGTCACCATGCCACACATAGATGGTAAGTGACGGGGTTAAGCAAGTCCATAGAAGAGTTTTAGACTCCTAAGTTACAAGGATTAATGCATCTTCATTTTACAACTTGAGCATCAAGTCTATTTCAGTTCTTTCTGTCTTCTTTCTACCCACTTTTGAAAAGACTGACCACATAAGCATTCATTAAAACTAAGTAAATCTAACACTCACCTGGACTCAGTGAGACAAACCTTGGTGATTGTGCTCCCCTGTAGGCATGCTTCCTGTCATCTCTACCAGGGAGCTCTCCAACTTTGAGCTGACCCTCAGCCCTGATGGCACAAGGGTGGGGAACCACAAGTGCTCCAACCTTCTGGATTACACGGAAGTGAAGACCCACCATGGCTTCTTGACTGACGCTACAAAAAATCCGGAGGTCATTGGAGAAACATATCCTTACCAGTACAGCGTACCTCTCAGAAGCTCCAGCACCTTACGCTTCTACCGGAATCTGAACCTGGAGGCCTGTCTGTGGGAGTTTGTGAGCCACTATGACATGTCAGAGCTCCTGGCTGACTGTGGAGGCACCATTGGAACTGATGGACAGGTATGAATTTTTAACTTCTCAGTTTCAGTCACTGGATAAGCCGAATGGTCTGTTCTGTAAATAGGTTTTTTATTAAATCTCAATTCAAATCTTAGGTATGCAGATCATTAGTCACAAGAGGGACCAGACAGTTGACATGGATGGTAGGATAATCCCCCACTCCAATCACTAGAACAATGTATCAAAATATATGTATTTTAAATAACGGGCCATATGGCATTATCTCTGTATCAAAAGGATGGTACATAATCATTTCCTGAGACTCTGGATCTAGGATGACATCTAAAAATTTAAATACTGATTTATCTCCAAAGTTTACATTAATATTTGTTGTTTACATGCACAGGTAACAGTGATATTGTACCAAACAACCCAAAATGGGAATTAATAATACTTCACTGTGGTTATAATAATTAAAGTATGTCGGGTGATCTTTAAAATGACAATGAAGATTTGAACTACAAGCAATGCTCTGTCTTATTTGGGCTCAACAAAAAAGTTATACAAGTAGGTTTATGTATTAAAGTAGCAAATGGTATACAGAATATATCATATTTGAAGACTTTGGTCATGAAGGGAGGCAGAGTGGTGGAGCGGTGAGTGGACAAAGCGTCCGGAGTCTGTGTCCAGAGAAGGCACACAGAACCATGAGGGAACGGACAGAGAAGAAAACAACATCCATTACCGCAGAAGAAATAGATCACCGGTGCCGATGGAGACCACACCTTGAGGGTAGGCAGTGAAAACAACTTTGCTGTACACAGTGAAAAGAAACCAGACTTGGATGGGGAAATGTTTATGTAATCGGAGACATTGCTTCCCAAGTGGGTCCTCTCAGAGCCAACAGCTGGTGAGTGAGGGGGAACAGTCCCCACACATGAAGCAGAGCGGGCAGGGGTCTTCATTTTACTTCAGAAAGCTCGGGGTTTGCACTCCCAATAGCCCCATGGCTTCACTGCCAATGCCTGGGAATGTAAGAGAGAACTCCCTGACGGGAGACTGCAGACATCTGGACACAGATTTAGAGAAATGCTGCTGAGAAGCGGGGACTGGGATTACTAGGATTAGCCACTAAGGACTAGAGGCACCGCCTGGCTCTGTGATCTGAGGCGCAGACAGGCAAGGGCTTTGGCCCACAACAGGAAGGGGACACTCCCGCCAGTCCTGCAGAGGCAACGCAAGTAGACAAGCAGCCTCAGCCAGTCTCAGGACAAGGGTGCCTCTCCCCTCAAACCAGTGCAAGCTGGTCAACAGAGTGGAAATGAAGAAGCCACAGGGTCCCACGGGGACTGTGTACAGACCTGGAGGCAGCCCTGGGCTGGCTGCCTTGGAGGACGCCAAAGCAGCTAAGAGAACGAAGTTGGGAGACATGTACAACCGCCCCAGCGAAAGTTGCAGGCTAGAAACTGCTACAGCCACCACATATGGAGGCCAAGATCAGCCCCATACTCAGCACTTAACTGCAGTCTTGGCAGTGTTACGCAGCACAATCTCAGGCTCTGTGAGAGACACTAACAGAGCTGCGAATCCCAGAGGAATTTTATTAATTTCCTTATTCTTTGCTTGATTTGCTTTCTCCTGTCTGGTTGATTTTTTTCTTTGTTTTTTATTTTGGGGCGCGCGTGTGTGTGTGTGTGTGTGTGTGTGTGTGTGTGTGTGTGTGGTTGTTTAGGGTTTTTGTCTTAACTTTTGTTCTATTCTATTTGTCCTCTTTCTCTCTTTCCCCAATTATCTCTCTTGATTTTATGGTATTTTCACAAGTCTCTTGTCTTTCTGGTTCAATATATTTTGCTTTCTCCTTCACTCTTTTCTTCTCTTTTCCCCAGTCTCCAAAAGCCTAGGTGTTCATCCTGTATCCTCTCCAGCCTTACTTCTATTATGCTTCTTTTTTATTTATATCTGTTTTTTCCCCTTACCCTTTTAAATCCCCCCAACAGGGTAAAATCACTTACTAAGGGGAAACTCATTGCATACAAGTGCCTGGTTCATTTTGAATTTTGTTATATAACAGTAGATCTTGTTTATGTGGTTTTAAGGTACCAAACTAACAGTTATCATGGTTTGTCAGTTGCTAGGTTTTGCTTGATGTTATTACTATTGATAACTATATTACTTTAGCCAGGATATCATACCTGTTGTAATCAGTTGCTCTCCCTTATATGACAATGCTGTGACTGTCTGGGGTCACAACCATCACCATAGTCCAGTACCAAAGACTGGGTGCTGAGCTAAGTAGATAGCAACCTCACATCCTTAACAAATTGGGAAGATAGGATCTTAGGATAGACACAAAAACCAAGAATCACCTATACCAAGAAGACATCTCTGAGGGATAGACATTTCCTAAAGAAATCTCATTATGTGTTGAAGCTACATACCATAAGAAATCTGCAAGCAACAATGTCAGAAAACAAAACAAAATAAGAAACTAGAAAATGACAAGACACAGAAGCAAAATGAAACCTCCAGCCTTCTAAGGATAAGTCCAGAAGACAATGAGATAGAGGAAAGGATAAAAGCCACCTATCAGCACTTTCTTAATTGATAGCTACAAAGGTGAAAAAACAAATATATGAGGCTATAGATAAAATAATCTTTCAATAAAAAAGAAATAACAATTAAAGTGAAGGACATGTTCAACAAAGCTAGAGTGGACAGATTAATAAAATAGAGGAGCTCAGAAAAATGATGGAAACCATGAATGCCCAATATAGGAAAGAAATGGAATCCATGAAATAAATTCAAACAGATATCCAGGAGATTAAAAACTCCACAGAAAGTATTCATAATCACTTGAACCAACATGAGATACAATTTCAGATCAAGAAGGCAGGACTGCAGCTACTGAACATGAAAATAAAGATTTCTTAAAAATATAAAGGGATCATGAAAAATCAATCCAACAATGGCAAGATGATGCAAAGAAAAAGAATATAAGATTGATCAGCAACAATGAGAATGCCAGAAACAATACAAATGTCATTCAAAAGCTGTTCAAAGAAATAATGGCAGCAAATTTCCCAAACTTGAAAAAAGAATTTGATGTACAAATAAGTGAGGCAAATAGAACTTCAAATAGCTGTGATCATGGGGCCGGGGATTTAGCTCAGCAGTTCAGTGGCCTGCCTTGCAAGGGTAAGGACCCAAGTTCAATCCCCAGTACAAAAAAAAAAAAAAAAAAA